GGTGGATGAGTTGACGGCACAAATCATGGCAAATCGGTATGATTTAGTGGCCAATACAGAGGCATGGTTGCAGGATGGCCATGACTGGGAGTTAAATATCCAGGGGTATCAAACTGTTCAGAAGGACAGACAGGAAGGTAAGGGAGGTGGTGTCGCTCTGATTTTTAAGGATGATATCAGGGCGGTAGTGAGAGATGATATAGGTCCTACTGAACAAAAGGTTGAATCCATTTGGGTGGAAATTAGGAATAGCAAGGAGAAGAAGTCACTAATAGGTGTGGTCTATGGGCCACCAAATAATGACATTGTGGCGGGGCGGGCAATAAACACAGAAATAGCTAATGCATGTGAAAATGGTACAGCAATGATCATGGGGGATTTTAATCTACATATCGATTGGTCAAACCAGGTCGGTCATGGCAGCCTTGAGGACGGGTTCATAGAATGCATCCGCGATAATTTCCTTGAACAATATGTAATGGAACCTACGAGGGAGCAAGCTATCCTAGATCTAGTCCTGTGTAATGAGACAGGAATAATTAATGATCTCACAGTTAGGGATCCTCTCGGAAGGTGCGATCACAGTATGGTCGAATTTAAAATACAGATGGAGCGTGAGAAGGTTAAATCCAGTACCAATGTGCTGTGCTTAAACAAAGGAGACTATGATGGGATGAGGGAGGAGTTAGCTAAGGTAGAATGGAAGCAAAAACTTTATGGTGGGTCAATTGAGGAACAGTGGAGGACTTTCAAAACGATTTTTCACGGTGCTCAGCAGAAGTATATTCCAATGATAAGGAAGAACTGTAGGAAAAGAGATAGTCAGCCATGGAGGTCTAAGGAAATAAAGGAAAGTATCAGATTGAAAAAAAACACATACAAAAAAGCAGAGTAGTGAGAAACTAGTAGACTGGGAAATCTTTAAAGGCCAACAGAAAGCCACAAAAAAAGTTATAAAGAAAAGTTAAATTATGAGAGTAAACTAGCTCAGAATATAAAAACAGGCAGCAAAAGTTTCTATAAATATGTAAATCGTAAAAGAGTGGCGAAGGTAAACATTGGTCCTTTAGAGGATGAGAAGGCCAATTTAATAACTGGGAAGGAGGAAATAGCCGAGGCATTAAACAGTTATTTTGTATCGGTCTTCATGGTGGCAGCCACATGCCGAAACTGATCACAAAAAGGTCATTATCACTAAGGAGGCAGTGCTGGGCAAGCTAATGGGGCTAAAGGTAGACAAGTCTCCTGGTCCTGATGAAATGCATCCCAGGGTACTAAAAGAGGTGATGGGGGAAATAGCAAATGCACTAGTAATTATTTACCAAAATTCACTGGACCCTGGGGTGGTTCCCGCAGATTGGTAAACAGCCAATGTGACGCCACTGTTCAAAAAAGGAAGTAGACAAAATGCAGGTAACTATAGGCCAGTTAGCTTAACTTCGGTAGTGGGGAAAATGCTTGAATCTATCATTAAGGAAGAAATAGCAAGACATCTGGATAAAAATTGTCCCATTAGAAACACCCAGCATGGTTCATGAAGGGTAGGTCATGTTTAACTAATTTGGTGGAATTCTTTGAGGACATTACTTGCATGGTGGACAATGGGGAACCCGTGGATGTGGTGTATCTAGATTTCCAGAAGGCATTTGACAAGGTGCCACACCAAAGGCTGCTACATAAGATAAAGTTGCACGGTATTACAGGTAATGTATTGGCATGGATAGAGGATTGGTTGACCAGTAGAAAACAAAGAGTAGGGGTAAATGGGTGTTTTTCTGGTTGGCGGTCACTGGCTAGTGGTGTGCCTCAGGGATCAGTGTTGGCACCACAATTGTTTACAATTTACATAGATGATTTGGAGTTGGGGACTAAGTGTGGTGTGTCAAAATTTGCAGATGACACTAAGGTGAGTGGTAGAGCAAAGTGTGCAGAAGACACTGAAAATCTGCAGAGGGATGTAGATAGTCTAAGTGAGTGGGCAAAGGTCTGGCAGATGGAGTACAATGTTGATAAGTGTGAATTCATCCATTTTGGTAGGAATAACAGCAAAATGGACTATGTTTTAAATGGTAAAAAATTCCTGCACGCTGCTGTGCAGAGGGACTTGGGTGTCCTTGTGCATGAATCACTAAAAGTAGGATTGCAGGTACAGCAGGTAATTAAAAAGGCAAATGGAATTTTGTCTGTCATTGCTAGAGGGATGGAGTTTAAAAACAGGGAGGCTATGCTGCAGCTGTATAGGGTCCTGGTGAGGCCACACCTGGAGTACTGTGTGCAGGTTTGGTCTCCTTACTTGAGAAGGGATATGCTAGCACTGGAGAGGGTGCAGAGGAGATTCACTCAGTCGATTCTGGAGTTGAGAGGATTGGATTATGAGGAGAGACTGAGTAGGCTGGGATTATACTCATTGGAATTCAGAAGAATGAGGGGAGGTCTTATAGAAACATATAAGATTATGAAGGGAATAGATAAGGTGGAGGCAGGGAGGTTGTTTCCACTAGCAGGTGAAACTAGGACTAGGGTGCATAGCCTCAAAATAAAGGGAAGCAGATGTAGGACTGAGGTCAGGAGGAACTTCTTCACCCAAAGGGCTGTGAATCTGTGGAATTCCCTGCCCAGTGAAGCAGTTGAAGCTACCTCGCTGAATACGTTTAAGGCAAGGCTAGATAAGTTTTTGAACAGTAAAGGAATTAAGGGTTATGGTGAGCGGGTGGGTAAGTGGAGCTGAGTCTCAAAAAGATCAGCCATGATCTTATTGAATGGCGGGGCAGGCTCGAGGGGCCGGATGTCCTACTCCTGCTCCTAGTTCTTATGTTCTTATGTTCTTATATCTGTCAGCATAGTAGTGTTGTAATGGTAGGGAATTTTAACTTTCCAAACATAGACTGAGACTGTTACAGGTATCAGGGCTTGAATGGAGGGGAATTTAAGTTTACGTAACCTGCTGCTGCTTTTGCATTTTAGTGAAGCTGAGAATCCTAAAGTAGTTATATCATTTGAGTTTAAGCGCCATGGATATTATGCTAAGTAGAATTGTGTACAAATCTTCATTCTTGGGATCAAAAAGATGAATAAACTTGTTCAGAAAATATAGTTGTTTGCTATTATATGATGAGCTCCACATCCCCTGCTTAACTATGGCATAATCAATGAATGACACTGATGTTTTTTCTCTCTACTTTTAAAAACAAACCATAAGACCATGTAGATATTTTTCCTCCAATGCTATTTTAAGTTTTCTGCTATACATACCAAAGGGTGTAGCATTTTCTTTACTGTAAGGAAGAATGTGCTTGTACGCTGCTAGCCAACTTCTGCAGTGTTATGATGCAGTGGATAACAGTCTTTGTCAGTGGGAGGGCATGTAAAATAGGTTGGGTGGTTAGCCCACTTCGTCACCACCCGCCCCTAAGCGTATTTCCATCATATGCAAGTTGGACGGGCATTGCAAAATTGGCTGGCTGCCTGTCAAACTTAAACAGATAAAGATCACTTAGGCATAATACTAACCCTGTTGCCTTGAATAATACAGTACCCACTCCATCACATGACTAGCATGGCAGTCGGCCTGGAGTAGGTAGAAAGGCTACATGAACAAAGGTAAGAGGAAGTGGACGGGACGGGGTTAGGCACCTTTAATCGGAAGGGTCTATGTGCACATCAGGGCAACTCCCCCAGGCTGCCATATTTGCTTCCTTCTGTGATGCCCATCCTGTAGATCATGGGACCCATTCCCTTCTCACCCCTTTCTGGGCTCTAGGATCTCACCCTAAAACTCCAGGAATTAACGTTTCAGGGCAGCCATAATCTTCCTCCGGCACCTTCCTGCTGGCCTGTCAGTGCCTGCTATTGCACTCACATCCTGCCAAATGAGAGTTGGAAGTCTTAGTATTAACTAACTCAATCCATCCTCGGCAAGTTATGGCTGATGATGGGCCTGTAAGAAGTGAATCAGCTTCTAACTGCCTAAGTTTCCTTCTGGGGTTTGAGCAATCTGTCCCCCAGCCCACCTTAAAGTTCAAGCCCTAATGCTTGACCACCGTGGAAGATGAATTCATATCACGATCTAACAAGTTGATTATTAATCTGCAAATCCTTCTAATTTGCTATGGCAGATGGTACCAGGAAAAGTATTTCCTGAATAGTTATGCTTGATGGGGTGTGGGGCCCCTCAGACTAAAGCTTGTGGTGTCAGGCTGGTGACTTGTTTCTGAAATTCCTAGCTTTGGAAACTCAAATAAGCATGTACTTTGTATGTCACATATATGATCAGATGCAGGGAGGTTCTCTACATATCCTGTACACATTCACAAAAATCTTTCTGTAGAATGTGCTAAAATATCACTGTCTAATCAAAATGTTCAGTTGCTTATAAAATACATATGTGAATAAAAACAACTACCACTGCCAGAAATGAAGCCAAAATAAAAACAAATAATAAGGAGTTCACACCCCATTTTTAAAATTTTACTCCCTCTTTTTCCAAAACTACCAGAAGCATCCATGCATTTTTCTTCAATTATTTAGATAATTTACTTCTGATAATAAACATTTGAGTCAAAATACCAAACATTAAGCAAAATCTGTGTCTATTTCCAAAGACATAATGAAATCATTTAACAAAATGAAAAGGTTACTTGTACACAAGAACATAGGAAATGGGAGCAAAAGTAGACCATGTGGCCCATCGAGCCTGCTTCACCATTTGAAATGTTCATAGCTGATCTTGAGCTTGTACAGTTCTCCAGCAATGGATATCATAATTTAGGTGTTTTATATATAGATGGATATATTTTGCTAATATTATTCCTATGATGCTCATTGTAAAATTATAAATTCTGGAGGCCTAGTTGGACCTGCATATCTTGAAATTACTTCTGTACAAACCTGTTCAGTTTTCCTGATAAAAGCCTAATGAATTGGGTTGAGTCCTTGGCTGTAATTATGCTTGTGATATTTAACTTTTTTTTCTGTGCCATGTTGCGAATTTCCACATCTAGATAAGCGTACTGATAAATCTGCAGTGTCTGGTGCCATCCGGTTACATATTAGTGTGGAGATAAAAGGAGAAGAGAAAGTAGCACCCTACCATGTTCAGTACACATGTCTACATGAGGTAATGTATCATCCATGAGTTGCTACATGGATTACTTTGCTTATTCTTTAATATGGCATCAGTTGATAACTTGAGAGATCCAAGATATTGCATTTTGCAAAAACAGAAGGGAAGAAAAATTCAGTGTTAAAATCCTCTGCAACAGTGTTTTACTGGTGGTATTTTTTTTGGATATGTCCTACTGAAAAAAATTACTTGGACATTACAGCATATTTTTTGGAAGTCACCAGTGCAGATTTTAGAGTCTCTTATAATGATATGTAGGTTCCTTTCCTGGAAAGTTCTGTTCCAAATTTCAGGGTGTCCACAGTTCCAAATGGGTCTTTTCCATTAGCTAATTGAATCTGACAATTTTAAATTCAGTAACACATAGGAGACAGTTATTTTATCTATATTTTTGCAGAAATTAGTTTAAATGAAAATGATTTTAATTTTTTTGTAATCACCTGTCAGTTTTCAAATGTTGAATTCATAGTGATTACATTTAAATTTACAGTGTTTTCAGAGTGGTGTGACGTATGTAGAATATTATGGATATCGATGCCTTCTTCAGTTAATAACATTTACTTTTAGAAGTAACCATGAATGCCGCACAATTTATAGCAAAAGAAAATGTGCTACTTGAGAAACAAATCAAAATTAGTTTCCCAATCTCTAGATTCAGTTAATTTAAAAGTCACTTGGTTTTTTCACATTATATAGGATCAGCTACATTTCTTGATTAGGTTACAGGTTATGTGCTCTTGGTTGAGTGTAGTTCTCAAGATCTTTCTGATGTTACTGTTGATGAAGCTTGATTTTTCCTGGAGAATTTGACCGTTTCTTTCTTTCTGCATACAGTTTTCCTTTTGATTTTAGTAGCAATCTTGATTTTATTTTAAACTGGAGTGTGCAGCTGATATCTCACCTATTTTTACCAGTGTTCAGAATCAGATTTACTTGAGGTTAATTATGATAACTTTCATTTGTATGTTGTGGATGATTTCACAAATCGAAAGGGATTGTTGGAAAGTGGGAGGTTGAACCCCTCTGATAATTAAATTTGAAACACAATCCCCCAATCTGTTATGGTGCCAGTAGAGGTACCCTTCTAATAATTAAACCTGAAACACTTAGAAAAGCTCGGCTCATCTCGCCTAATCTGTTTGAAAGGAGTAAACTGTTATGGAGAAGGGGCAGTTAAATGAAAGAAAATCCCTGATATATTCACTTTACAAGTAACAATTTATTTATTTAACCCTAACCGTGAATAAAGTAACAGAATTACTAACAAACTGAACAATTCCCCCTTAACTATAAATATTCCCTAACTGAACAAACTTCTTCTGGTATGCAATTCCAATAAACACAAGTCCCACTTATATAATCTAAGTAATAAGAAGTAAAAATAAACTTGGTCTCTAAAAGCCCACACAGAAAGTGTCATCCGGAAAGCTCTGCCTTCTTCACTGTCTCTCCAGGTATAAACGCCTTTCTTCTGCTGTTCTCAGGTTATAAACGCCTTTCTTCCATTGATCCTGCTGTCAGGGATGGTTTCCCTGTGAAGACTCTTAGCTAGAAGTTCCATGGTATCTTTTATAGATAAGATGGTGCTTTCTTAGAGTGCTTAGTGATTGTGAGACCTAGGTGCTTATTTCTCAGATGGCGGTTTGCTCTCACCCCAATTTTCAAAAACCCTCTCCTTTATATACTTTGGATGACCTATCAATTTTCTTATAATAGCAGTGGTCCGAGGTTGTCAAAACCATCAGATTTAAATTCAACTGGCTTTCAATGGCTAAGTGCTTGGTTTAAATTAATTGGCTGATTCCAGCTCATTGCCAAAACATCAAAACATGCCTAAGGTTTCTCATAACACAGCCAATTGATACATGTTTCCATTTTAGAACTGGCTGTACATCTTCAGCTACATACAGACACTTGTTTTTTTCTGTATAAATCTCTAAACTTAGAAAAACACCCTTTTTTTTTACAAACAAATTCTAGCTTCCTGCTTTCTAATTCATGATTACTCTACACAACTCCATAACAGAATAAAGCAATTGATTTTCACCTGTTCCAAAAATACATTGTCCTGAGTCATTTATGGATATTTAATATATATTTCCAGTGATAACAGGAATAATATTCCCATAATGCCTTAATTAAAAGTGTCAAACAACTTTAAGTTTTGTATATATACTGTTAGCTGTGATTTACTGAGAAGAATTATTGATTTTTTTTGTGTTCTGATATGTACAGAATCAATTTCATTACCTGACAGATATACAAAATAATGGAGTGGTGAAGATTCCAGATGCAAAAGGAGATGATGCCTGGAAGGTTTATTTTGATGAAACTGCTCAAGAAATAGTGGATGAGTTTGCAATGCGATTTGGTGTGGAATCCATCTACCAGGCTATGACGTAAGTTTGTGCAGGTGTTTCGGTGAATATTTTTTGAAAGAAAGGATGAAATGATCTGTTCAACACTGACAATTAGTATGCACCGTTACTGTTTCTTTCTTCACTGTGACCAAAAATGTTGCGGTGAAGCCCAATCGTAAGATTGTAAAATATGTTAACATATTCAGAAATATTTGTATATTGCCTTATTCTCACAACAAGGACTATACTTTGACAACAACTTCTCATGTCAGTAGTATCATGCATATGGCATCTAGTGGGTCCCTTACTAAAAATTGAGAACATAAGCATGTGGCATCTCTTCAAAGTGCTGAAAATAACATGATATGTTACCATAGATATGTCTATTAATATGCTCAGTGTGTTATTAAGGGTACGTTTGTTTGCTGTAAGAATTACTGCTATGCAGAGTCAAAAAATATAGTCAATGAAAACATTTTATTTGAGTCCTCGAAATGTTGACTTAGAGTCATAGAGTTATACAGCATGAAAACACTCTTCAGTCCAACTCATCCACGCCAACCAGATATATCCTAAACTGATCTAGTCCCATTTGCCCGTATTTGGCTCATATCTCTTTAAACACTTCCTATTCATATACCCATCCAGATGTCTTTGAAATGTTGCAATTGCATCTGCACCTACCACTTCCTCTGGCAGCTCATTCCATACACGCACAATCCTCTGCGTGAAAAAGTTGCTCCTCAGTTCCCTTTTAAATCTTTCCCCTCTCACTTTAAGCCTATGCTCTCCAGTTTTGAACTCCCCTATGCTGGGAAAAAGACCTTGGCTATTCACCCTATCCATGCTCCTCATGATTTTATAAACCTCTGTAAAGTCACCCCACAGCTTCCGACACTCCAGGAAAAAAATCCCAGCCTATTCAGCCTCTCCCCACAGCTCAAACCCTCCAAATCCTGACAACATTCTTGTAAATCTTTTCTGAACCCTTTCAAGTTTAACAACATCTTTCTTATAGCGGGGAGACCAGAATTGAATGCAGTAATCTAAAAGTGGCCTCACCAATATTCTGTACAGCCACAATATGAGGTCCCAATTCCTGTACTCTTTGCACTGACCAATGAAGGCAAGCGTTCCAAATGCCTTCTTCATCACCCTGTCTACCTGCAACTCCACTTTCAAGGAACTGTGCACCTGCATGCCCCCCCATCCCTCAACCCCCTCCCCGGTCTCTTTGTTTGGCAACACTTTCCAGAGCCCTACCATTATCTGTAGAAATCCTGCCCTGACTTGCCTTACCAAAATGCAACACCTCACATTTATCTAAATTAAACTCCATCTGCTACTCCTCAGCCCATTGGCTCATTTGATCACGTCCTGTTGTACTCTGAAGAACGTTCTTCGCTGTCCACTACACCTCCATTTTGGTGTCACCTGCAAACTTACTAACCATACCTCCAATGTTCACATCCAATCATTTTATATAAATGATAAAAAGCAATGGAGCCAGCACCGATCCTTGTGACACACCACTGGTCACAGCCTCCAGTCTGTAAAAACAACCCTCTATCAACACCATCTGTCTCCTACCTTCAAGACGTCTGGTTCCCTATCTTTAATAAGTCACCATTGCATAGCTTGACAACTCCAGTCAACTAACAGCCCAAATCTTTGTTTCTGAGCTGTCACAGAGATTGGATGTATGACCAGAGATGCACATTGGGAATCTGCATGGAAGTACTCACACTCTGATCTGCAACTCTGAGCTAAAGTCACAGGCTTCAGATAGTTCAAATGTACTTACCTGAATAATTATCCAAGAACTATTAGACAGAAAGGTCCTAGACTGACTCAAGAACTGACGCCCCAATCACTCACATTGGCTCCCGCTCTAACTCCTGCGCAGCTATCTACTATTCTCCCAAATCCACCTACCACTGTACACACCTACTACTTCACCAGTTCCACCTTACCCACCCTATCCACCTTATTCATTCATTCAATCACCCATTCATCAGTATACTTCCACTCATCTATTTTCTAATGTTGAAACTGAACCTTTAGACTTAACCATATGCCAGCTGGTTCTGTTATAAAGGGCTGTGCCCTATCTTACCCTGCTTCGATTGAGCTTTCCAAGGTGGGCTGCACTCTGCATTTCTCATAAAGCCAGTCTCTGAAGACCCAGCAAGAAAGATGAAGTGTTGAGCTGGGGGAAAGTTCAACTAGAGCAGCAATCCAATGATGTTTATGGATCCTTGGAAGATCTAGGCCCTTATTTCTGTTCCCATCGTTTTTCTTCTCTTAAAAATTTTGTTAGTTGTGCTCCACTGTACACATGCGTTGATTTTTTTTTCTCTCCTAGTTATTTTTTAAACATGTCTTGTGGGTGTTGGCAACATGTTTGATTGACAGGAGGAGCATAGTCAAGCCTTATGCTGCCTTTGTTCAGTGTCATGACATATGCATCTCTGATGGGACCAATGGACACCTAGATAACTGCTTCTGACCTAAGGCATTGAATTCAGTTGTAGTTCCACTTGTCATAGACCCAGCTGAGAGTGGTAGCATTCAAGTTTTAAATGATACAGTTCAGCGATTCAGAATCAAAATTCCTATTGGAATTGCTTTTATCTTCAATGGATATTATGTATTTAAAGACAAATTAAAATTTAGAAAAATGTTCTGTTGCCTCTAACTATTGTATTTTTATTATACTTTTGTAGGCATTTTGCCTGCCTGTCTTCAAAGTACATGTGCCCTGGAGTACCAGCTGTAATGAGTACTCTGTTGGCAAATATCAATGCTTACTATGCGCATACCACTGCCTCTACCAATGTATCTGCCTCTGATCGTTTTTCAGCTTCCAATTTTGGGGTATGTATTCATAACAGGGCAGTAAATCTTTCACATGTCACATTGATTTTCTGTATTTGTAAAATCTTCAAAAAACCTCTGTGTAGTTTGTGGAAATTCACCTCCAATTTTGTTGACCTGCTCAAAATATGATTTTGTCCAGCATGATTGGTATTAGATTTATGCAATTTTTCTTTTCTTGCTATAAATATTGTGAAATTTGAATCAAAACTCCATTGACAATTTGCAACCTTCATTGTTAGAATGGTAGAAAAGATTTTAGAATTTGTTCTTCATGAAATTATTTCTGACAGGAGCCTTTATCCTTTTTCTATCCATAGAAAGGCTGGAAGTTAAAAACAGATATTAACGTAAAGCTACAATTCTGCTGTACATGGGAAATAATCTTCTCTAAGGCATATTGATAATTATGGTCATCATTTGAAAAATAGCATAATATAGCTGCTTGATTTGTATTGTGTTAATAATTTATTCATTTCAAGTCATGAGATCAAGCCATCAAAATAAGAATACAGGACAGAAAACATTGTGCTCCTCTTTTCTGTATGCTCTGTATCTTACAACTGTATATACCCAGGCTAAGAATGGTTTTTTCATTGATAATGGCTGTATCATGGCAATGGGACATGTCTGTCGTGGGGAACTGATCATTGCTGTGTAAACACCTTTGTTCGTAAGTTACTTAAGTGAATAAATACAGAGTGAAATGATACATTTAAATGTATCCCTCAGATAACAGGTTAAGTGATGTGCATTCTCCACACACCAGCCTTGTCGGCCTCTCAGGCCTTGGTTCAGGAAATGTGTTGGGACAAAATAAAATTATCCTGCATGTCAAGGTTCACTCTTGTGTAGGGGAACATTGAGTCATGTAACCATGCCATTGATAATTTAGTTTATTTTAAAATGGTGGTTCTCCCTTTGTGACTATCCTAGTATGTTATGGCCTGTTGCTGGTCCATCCTAACATAGTAGAAAGTAATTAATCTTTATTTAAAATTCCTAGAGTGTCAGTAAGCAAAACCCTGCTGATGAACTTTCTTATGCCTTGGGACATTTTACTTTCTTTTTTGGGTGAGAGTGTCACTGGCTAGGTCAGCATTTATTGCCCATCCCTAATTGCTTTGGAGAAGAAGGTGGCAATGAGCTGTCTTAGTGAACAGCTGCAGACCTTAGTGAATAGAAATAGCCACAGTCCTGTTAAGGATTGAGTTCCAGGATTTTGAATGAGTGATAATGGAAGAATGGCAATATGGTTTCAAGTTAGGATCATGTGTGGCTTGGAGGGAAAATTGTAGATGGTGGTGTTCCCATGCAACTGCTTCCATTGTCCTTCTAGGTAGAGGATATGCTTGAGGGCTGTCTGAGGAGCCTTGTAGATTGTACATACTGCTGTCACCATGTATCTTGGTGAAGGGTCGTTCGTTGAAGATAATGGATGACGTGCCAGTCAACCAGGCTGTGTTGTCATGTACTCTGACAAGCTTCTTCAGTGTTTTTAGAACTGCGTTCATTGCAGGCAAATGGAGAATATACCATCACTTTTCTGACTTCTACCATGTAGATAGTGCACTGACACTGGGGAGACAGGAGGTGAGTTACTTCCTGCAGAATTCCTAACCTCTGACCTTCCACTGTTAGCCATAATATTTATATAGTTCGTCCTTTTCAGCCTGTATTCAACGGAAACCCCAGCCTGTTGATAGTGGGGAATTCAGCAAAAGTAATGCCATTGAATGTCTAAGGCTGATTGTTATATTCTCTCTTGTTGGAGATGGTAATTGCCTGGCACATGTTGTCAGAATGTGACTTGCTGCTTGTAAGCCCAAGCCTCAATGATGTCCAGGTCTTGCTACAGTGAGGTCTTGCCCTTCAGTATGTGAGGTGCTGTGAATGCGCTGAACATTGTTTGCTGATGATTACATTTCCTCACCTCTAAATGCATGATGGAGGAAGGTCATTGGTGAAGCAGTTGAACCTGGTTGGTCTGAGGACACGACCTTGACGAACCCCTGCAATGGCATCCCGGGATTGAGAGTGATTGTCCTTCAAAACCACAGCCATCTTTCTTTGTGAAAGCTTTGACTCTTAAGCAATGGAGATTTTCCACACAATTTCTATTGACTACAGTTTTGCTGGGCTCCCTGATGTCATGCTTGGTCAAATGCTATTTTGACGTTAAAGGCGATCACCTTCACCTCATTGTGGTAAAAATACAGTATAAATGTTTCACTGTTAATGGTTTGAGTACCTGGAAGCCATCATTACATCAGGATGTTGCTAATAGTCTTTAAAGGTTTGCTGATAATCTGATTTTTCATCCTGTGCAGAGTAATTAAAATGGGTATACTATTCTAAAGACAGATGGTCATTCTAGCAGAGTGATGGAGAAGATCCAAATATTATTTAAGCATACTGAATATTTTCAGTAAGCATATGAACTTTAGTGCATGTTCAATTTGACCAGACACTATTATTAGTACACTTCCTTAAGTTAAAGCAGTTCAATGCCATACCACCCATTTATTCATATTTTTACCTCAAGACAAGGTACCCTTAAATTTTTTTTTGGGTTATTTGTGCATGTGATAGAAAAATCACTGAAAAATTTAAGTAAATATTCAACAATAAATGCTACAAATCAAATATGTTGCCATAAAATTAATGGAGGAGATTTTGCTGCATAACATAATGGCCAATTTTCCATTAAAGAAACCCTGTAGAGTCTTGGATGTGTGGATCATGTGGAGAAGCCATAAAAAAAGTCAGTATCATGTAGCAATGTAGCAACTAATTGTATGAACCCAGTGTTTTATTTCTATAACTTCTCTGATGCAGTGAATGACTGCGTGTTGATGCTGTTTCATTCTAAATCAGTTTGGAATAATCTGTTCCAAATAATTTATTTTGATTGAGATGATATGTTATTATTCAGAAAGGTAAATTATTGAGAGATGACTGCCTGTTTTTGCCTAAAGGGACAGATATTGTTTAAGGTGAAATCAATAGAAATGAAAATTGATCAGTTTCTAAGACATATAGTTGATCCACAACAGTGCTTAGTAGTCAGATGGCAGTTTGAAAATCGACCCTTTTGTTTGAAATCATTAATAAAATATTTCTGTTATCTCTTGCAGAAAGAGAGATTTGTAAAACTTTTAGACCAACTGCACAATTCTCTTCGTATTGATTTGTCAATGTATAGGGTGAGTTTTGATACAAAATGAAGTTTTCTAAGTTTTATTCCTGTCTAAGCAGAATTATGTCATGATTAAAAATAGAAATAAAAGTCACAAATAGAAATTCAAAATAATGTTATCCAGAAGATACAATTGCCTGTGTTAAAGTTATCTAAATTTTACTGGATTCAGAAAGTAGCAAATAGATTACAATAAAAGACAATATAGTTACAAAGGGGAAAAAAGAATCTGGTTTAGTTTGTCAGCTTTGGTGTTTCAGATTGAAATACTTATTTGAATAAATGGGCTTCCGTTGAAATAGGCAAATTTTTGTTGTGGCTGTATTAACCTACTACATTGACTAAGTTTGACACTGAAATATAACGTGTTTAATGAGCTATCATGGATATATTTTACATCTAGGAGTTCCTGCAGATACTCACACGTTAAATTGTGTTTTATATGGGAGTGTTACAGCAATTTAGTAATAGTATAATAGAGAAGCTGTTGTAGACCCCTGGTTATTACAACCAAATAATAATACGTATATGCCATTCTGCAACTTTCCAATATGGGATGCTCACTTCAGAAGCCGTCAGGCAAGACTTGGCAGGATGGGAGGTAGAGGGCAAATTCAGGCTGGCAGTGGCCTAGAGTAGCTCTTGATCTTCACAGCTGCGCATAAATTTACATTTCAAAAAAGCACATATCTTTTGGTTCACCGTACCTTTAAGAATCACTGGTAAGGCTGCTATTGTAGCTAACTAACAGCTCCTATCAGTGCTAAGTTCTGCAATAGGTATTAGGCTCCTCAATGTCATTTGCAGGGGAACTGCTTCCTTTTTTTAGACAATAGAAAGTAGAATGTATTTCAAACTCCCTTGAGTGACGAGTCAAGAGAAGCGTCACTTCTAGATCTGAGAAAAATAGGGTATAGGGTTCAATTTCTAGGCCATCGGGTCCTATTGCATGGTTCAGTTTCTTCCATTCCACAAGGCATTACTATTTCTTTTTTGTATCGTGACTGGATCTGTTCTACTGCAGCATGGTAAATTAATCAAAAAGTTATGTTAATTGTCTTGTGCAACTAGCTTGTGCTACAGCACTTTTACATCATACCTTACAATTCTACTGTTATTGGTATATATTTTTACACCCTCTCCTCTATGCATGATGTGAAATATGATAGACAAAGGCAATCTAGTTTATTACTTGAAGAATTATGTAATGACTTGGAGACCATACCAGCTGCAACATCACAGTAATGTGACATGATAGTGTACTAAAGTTGGGATGGATAGGATTAAAAAGTATCTTTAGGCTTAACACAGAAATAAATCTCTTTAAGAGTTAAACTATCTGAACAGTGGAACAAATGAAACTACGAAAATTATTGTTTTAGTTGAATTTACCTGTGGTACAAGAATGCTGACGTGTGTACTCATCTGAAGTGCTAAATTCCTAGATTGTACCCAATTAGAATGTGCACATTGTAATACTGTTAAAAGTTGAATGGATTTATTTAAGAAAAAAGTTTGCAATTACAAATAAAATACTTGCTTTATATAGAATAATTTCCCAGCAAGCAGTCCTGAAAGGCTACAAGATTTGAAGTCTACAGTTGATCTTTTAACCAGTATAACCTTCTTTCGAATGAAGGTAGGTCAATATATATTTAACTAATTCTATGCTGGTGCCGTAGTTTGGAACAGAGAAAAGTACTGCTCGAGGTAAAATAAAATACAGCCACGTTGTGGGAACATTTTAACCTGGACTTTCTGCTAGATTGTACTCTATTTGCCAAAACTTAGTCAAACTGGTACAAAAGGTCAAGGAGCTTCAAGTGAAAATTATGTCCAGTGTAAAACAAATTTTCACGACCTATTGTGCCAGCTTATAATTTTGAATGCTTTTCTTTTAGTAGCTTAACAATGAACAATTTTTGCTCAAGCTTTAGCTCAAAGTTGTTTGCATATTGTTATGAGCAGTTGAAGAGGAATGAATTGGCTCCTTTTTTTTCAATCTCTCTAGTTGGCTGCAAAGATTTATGCTTTTTTTGGCAGTAGGCTCTCTCTCATTAAAATAAATTACCCAATGTCAACTGAGAGAGTAAGGAGCCAATTGCAAGCTTTACTTGTGGAAGCAAGAGTATCTGTTAACCCTAAGAAAAATAATAAAATTGCCTTTTATTAGACAATATAATTATTTCAAGATAATTTCCTTGGACATCATTGATTCAGTTGTGTCTCTTGTGGTTATGGTTTGAATCTCTTGATTTGTGACTAAACTGATATCTCTGCATACTGTTAGTCCTCCTGTAACATAAGAAACTGAGTGTCAATATCATGATCCTTTTTCTGTTTGATAATGACGTGTGGGTGTTGCTGGCTGGGCCTATCCCTAGTTGCCATTGTGAAGGTGGTGGTGACCTGTTCTTCTTGAAAAGCTGCAGTCCATTTCATATATGTAGACTCCCAATGCCAGAGTGATCCTGGATTTGTCCTGGCAACACTGAAGGAATGGTGATTTATTTCTAAAGCAATCTGGAGAGTAGCTTGGAGGGTAAATTGCAGGTAGTGATGTCCGTATGGGGTATGTGCTGCTCTTGTCCTTCTAGATCACAGTGGTTGTGAGTTTGGAAGTTGTGGTCTAAGGAGCCTTGGTGAGTTCATGTATGCCCTGGTACACACTGCAGCTACTGAATGTTGGTGGTGGAGAGAGTAAATGTTTGTGGATGTGGTGCCAGTCAAGTAGGTTACTCTGACATGGATGGTGTGAAGTTTCTTGAGTGCTGTTAGAGCTGCGCTAATCCAGGCAAATGGGAATATTCTATCACACTCCTGACTTGTGCCTTGTAGATGATGCACAGGTTTTGGGGAGTCAGGAGGAGAGTTACTTTCTGCAAAATTCCCAGTCTGTGACCTATTCTTTTATCTGTAGTATTTATATAGCTAGTCTAGTTCAGTTTCTCGTTAATGATAGTAGCCGATTCAGCAATGGCAATGCAATTGAATGTCAAAGAGCAATGTTGTATTTGGGCATGTTGGCTTCAGAATCTGAGGAGTTGCAAATGTTGTGGAACATTGTGCTGTCATCAGTGAACATCCCCACTTCTGTCCTCATGAAGGAGGGAAGATCATTCATAAAGCTGCTAAAGATGGTGTCATTGCTTTAAGTGCTCCAAGGCAAAATGGAGTATGAGATCTTTATACCCACTGGTCACATGCTATTTGATACTGGCTATACTGTGCGCATGTTTTGAAGTTATATTGCCATTCTGTGGAACATAATACAACAGGCATATGTGCATGTGTTATAAAAATACAAAATTATTTAAATTAAGTAGATGGTATCTAAACATTGAAAATCCAATGTGAACATTAAGAAGAAAATAGGTATTTTTAAGGGGGTTGAATATATGTACTCTCCACGTAGATTAAGAACATTTGGGTTGGAGAGAATTTTAAATAGAAGATGGTGAAATGATCTCTGATTCAAATGTGTAATTGTTTTCAGAGGTGCTATTGTGCATCCTAATTTCTTGATTACACAATCAAACATGTTGGGGCAGTCCATAGAGAATGTGAGGTTGAAGATTTATTTGTTTCTCAATTTTAGGACAATATTTATTGTTTCCCTAAAATGAAGCAAAATGCAGCTGAGAAACAAATGGAAAATTTGATACTCATGTATAAATGCAGTGTTATGTTGAGAGATTGTTGCCCTTTGGAGGTACTAAGAAAGTACAGAACAACATCTTATGATTTTGTAATGTTTTAAGACATGTTTCATTCTCTCTTCTTAGGTTCAGGAACTGCAGAGCCCACCACGGGCAAGTCAGGTAGTGAAAGATTGTGTAAAGGCTTGTCTGAATTCCACTTATGAGTATATCTTCAATAACTGCCATGAACTGTACAGTCGAGAATATCAAACAGATCCAGTAAGTTCACGTCCTGCTTAAACATTTCATCAAATGATTCAAAATTAAAAATTCGACAAGGGCCCTTTATTGTAATTTGATACACAGCCTTTACATTTACTTTTGATGTTGCGTTTTCCAGGCACACACAGTTTATAATGCAATGGGGCCTAATTGATGAAAGGGAAAAGGAATTAGCATAATAATTGCACTTGAATTAAATTAAAACTAATTTATTGCAGCATTCTCTTTAAAGTACTCGGTTACTTTGGAAAAGCATGTACATAACAAAATTATCCTGTATTAACAATAGCTGGCCTCCGTGTTTGAAGATTGTGGTAGCATGACCTAGAAACTTAATTGAGTTTGCTTAGAGATAACAGAAAATTCACAGACTTTTAGAATCTAGCATCTTGGAATATCTTGCCTGTTAATTCATTTCTCTGACAGTGTAATTAATGCATATTGGAATAGACAAAGTAGGGATCATTTACAACTTTGAGAATCTTCTTTCTGGTTTAATGTATTAAACCAGTTGAGAACATAGATAAAATTATACAGAAACAATTGACACCTGTCAACTATCTTAGAAGTACACAATAAAGCCTGCTTAAGTCTTATATTTATGACAGAGAAAGATAATCTCTGCACATTCTCCTTTCTATACTTATACAATGCCATAACCTCTGAGCCTTACTTTTATGGATAAAATATGTCCCCAAAATGGATATTTTCTTAACATGTGTGACCACTAACAAGAGAAGTACATTAACTCACAACAGAGGAGCATGCTTCCCGTAGAAAGTCAGTAAGCATTTTTGCTAAATATGTTCTGTAAAATCATAATAACTGTAGTCAGTAAACTAACCTGTTAGCATCTATTTTGAATGATTTACAATAAAATATTGAGTATTGGATTTTTATACAACTTGCATGTTGTCACTTTTTATATTCCGATCATGTTAACAAACCTAAAATATGTAAACCTTATTTTGTTTTTCTAGACTGTAAGCTTTGGTATCAGGATCCTTGGTCACGTAGCAAAATGTAATACTTGCAAAAAAAACTCAATCACTTAACAAGACAAGCCGGCCCTGTTACTGCAGAGCCTTTTAACAAAAGGTGCAGGGCCTTTTTCTGATGCAGTATGGGCAAGTGAGAAAATATTCTTTGATAGACATTACAGTTTACAGTGTAATTATACAATGAATAGCCGGTGCTCTGTACAAAAATGACACATGATTTATGAAAATAATCTTGATTTGCAGTGCAAGAGGCAATTCTATTAACGTTATTCCAGTTTTAATGCAACATAATTTCAAATACAGAATAGGGGAAGAAATCTAATACCTGAGTAGACCACAGTGCTTTTAAAATTAAAACTATCCATCATAAAAGGGATAGAAGTAGGCAACATTAGCACTTCAATGAGGCACACATCAGAACAATTCTTTTGGTTGGTGGGTATTTTCAAGTTAGCAATCAGCTAACCACAAAGAAAGGAATTTTTTGTACCCGATTTTAAAAAAAAAAGTAACCTACTTTTTTTTCATCCAACAGAATAAAAAAGCTGAAGTTCCCCCAGAGGAACAAGGGCCAAGCATTAGAAATTTAGACTTTTGGTCCAAACTTATCACACTCATTGTTTCAATCATAGAAGAGGACAAGAATTCATATACGCATTGCCTCAATCAGTAAGCATCTATCTGCTCATTTGTCATTTTTATTATTTTTAAACCTACTGAAATGTTGTTTTACACATGTTATAAAATCCAGTTCATACTTTGCACCTTCAAATAGATGATTAATTGTCTTTCATCTAAAGATTAGCACTTTTGCTATTCGATTATTTACCATTTCAGGGAAAGTGTGTTTTTTTTTAAATCTCTTAAATGCATTAATAAAGGGCTTTTAGCCCAGTTCCTTTGGTCTTCAGTTGCAATAATAATTGACTTTAAAGAGAATTGATCAGCTATCCTTATAATTAATTGCTTAATTTCTTAATCTATTGATCAACAACAACATCCGCTTGCGTAGTGCTTTTAATACAGAATTCTCACAAGGTCCTTCACCAAACATAACCAGATCAAAATGCTATTTATTTCCCATCTGTATTGCCATTGTGTACAAATCTAAATGATACTTTGAAATCACCTTTCTTTAAAAGTTCAAAAATGACTCAATCTAGTTCTAATTTTTGACTTGTACTATGAACTGCTTCAGTTTTGAGCAGAATGTATATAGTGTTAAAATGCTGCAATTCGAGTGAAGTGTCAGCAAGTAGACCATGATGGGTTGATAGCAGCTGCATGAAAAAAAATTAAATATCACGTGAGGTTTTCTATTAGATCCATAAAGTTAGTCCATGAAGAGGCTTTTGCAGATTTAGTTCGGTTGCCTCGAGGAAACAGCAGAACATTATGAACATTAATTGCAATCTCTTGAAACATTGCAGCACAGCGAAGAGAAGGTGATTGTAACTGACAAACATGCTGCGTCCATTATATTCTGCAATAGTGTAGCTGATATCTTCTCACTTAGATCGTTAAACTTCTACTAGCCATCAATAGGTGCCCCTAACTGACAAAACTACCTACTATGCTTGGGCAGTTCCTCTAACTGGTCTCCATCCCCCTTATTTTAAACATGATCCCTTGCAGGTATGCCTTCAAATGATTTTTCCGGAATCAAAGTTTTGAATGTGGAATGTTGCCTTCAGCATCCTGAGAGATCAGCTACGTAACTTTACAGAATGCTTTCATTAACTAAGATTTAGATGAAGTATGATAATTTCTATCAGCCTGTAATCAGGAGGCAGAGTTGATTAAACTGCGTTAATTTTAATTGAGATAACTAGGTATAGAGCTGGATGAACACAGCAGGCCAAGCAGCATCATAGGAGCAGGAAGGCTGACGTTTCGGGCCGAGACCCTTCATCAGAAATGGGGGAGGGGAAGCGGGGTTCTGAAATAAATAGGGAGAGAGGGGGAGGCGGATAGAAGTGGATAGAGGAGAAGATAGGTGGAGAGGAAACAGACACGTCAAAGGGACGGGGATGGAGCCAGTAAAGGTGAGTGTAGGTGGGAAGCCACCTTCCTGCAAATACACCTCCTCCCACCCACCTTCCTGCAAAAATGCCCCCATCCCCTATTCCCAATTCCTTCGCCTCCGCCACATCTGCTCCCAGGATGAGGCATTCCACTCCTGTACATCTCAGATGTCCTCGTTTTTCAAGGACCGCAACTTCCCCCCCCTCAGTGATCGAGAACGCCCTCCACCGTGTCTCCCGCATTTCCCGCAACTCATCCCTCACACCGCGTCCCCGCAATTACAACCAAAAAAGAATCCCCCTCGTCCTCACATACCAACCCACTAATCTCCGGATCCAACGCGTCATCCTCCAACACTTCCGCCATCTGCAATCCGACCCCACCACCAAAGACAATTTTCCCACCCTTATCTGCTTTCCGGAGGGACCATTCTCTCCGTGACTCCCTTGTCCGCTCCACACTCCCCTCCAGCCCCACCACACCCGGCACTTTTCCCTGCAACCGCAGGAAGTGCTACACCTGCCCCCACACCTCCGCCCTCACCCCCATCCCAGGCCCCAAGAAGACGTTCCACGTCAAGCAGATGTTCACCTGCACATCTGCTAATGTGGTATACTGCATCCGCTGTTCCCGTTGTGGCCTCCTCTACATCGGAGAAACCAAGCGGAGGCTTGGGGACCGCTTTGCAGAACACCTATGCTCGGTTCGCAATAAACAACTGCACCTCCCAGTCGCGAACCATTTCAACTCCCCCTCCCATTTCTCAGACGACATGTCCATCCTGGGCCTCCTGCAGTGCCACAACGATGCCACCTGAAGGTTGCAGGAACAGCAACTCATATTCCGCTTGGGAACCCTGCAGCCCAATGGTATCAATGTGGATTTCACAAGCTTCAAAATCTCCCCTCCCCCTACCGCATCCCAAAACCAGCCCAGCTCGTCCCCGCCTCCCTAACCTGTCCTTCCTCCCACCTATCCCCTCCTCCCACCTCAAGCCGCACCCCAATCTCCTATCTACTAACCTCATCCTGCCCCCTTGACCTGTCCGTCCTCCCTGGACTGACCTATCTCCTCCCTACCTCCCCACCTACACTCACCTTTACTGGCTCCATCCCCGCCTCTTTGACGCGTCTGTTTCCTCTCCACCTATCTTCTCCTCTATCCATCTTCTATCTGCCTCCCCCTCTCTCCCTATTTATTTCAGAACCCCCTTCCCCTCCCCCATTTCTGAAGAAGGGTCTAGGCCCGAAACGTCAGCCTTCCTGCTCCTATGGTGCTGCTTGGCCTGCTGTGTTCATCCAGCTCTACACCTTGTTATCTCAGATTCTCCAGCATCTGCAGTTTCTACTATCTCTGATTTAATTTTAATTGACATGATTTGGATCACTTCCACGGTGGTCACTGCTCAAATCTGTAAAAAAAAATCTGACTACAATCATGACTTGTTAGGGGGATACCTCTGAAATCATTTCAAGGTGCCCTGGAGTTGCGAGGGGAGAGAGGGAGACTAAAGAATGGGGGATAGATGGGAAAAGATGGCAAATAAGAGCTCTCGACTGGAAGGATGATAGAGAATAGGATAATTGTTTCAGTCTGGTAAACATCCCTCTGGCAAAAGTAGAAGCAAGAGCTGTTCTGAAGGATCGATAGGCTTATTGTTACAATTAAGTAAGGTGGAGGAATCAACTCTCCTCTTTTCAGGGATGAGAGTTTTAATCAACCTGTTCAGAAATGTTTTTACACACTACTTGAACTCGGGCCTTTTGGCTCGGAGGTAGGGATGCCATCACTATGCCACAAAAGCCCTGCTACCCTCATTTTAACACACACTTAGTCATTTGTAACACAACTTTGTTCCTCTTTTATCAAGTAGCTATCACACTCCAATTAAAATGTAATTAACTAGATCAGAAGCCAAATCACAAGGTTTTCTTGAGTGAAAGTAAGAAGAATTTTATTACTCACTATGATAAAAAAGGTAACATCAAATACGGGTAACAAGATTAAAAAGAAACATGTCTAGTACAGATAGGAAGGTAGAGGAAGTTACAGTTTCATGTTCTTAGAGTGTTTGAATTGAGAGAATAACCTGAGTCACGATTGTTTAGTAGTCTCACTTCTTCAGCAGTAATGAAGCTTTTAGTTATCCTTGAGTTAATAGCAAGTGGTTGGGTATCCAAGTTGCCCTGTCACTGTACACTTACTGTGAAGCAGAGAGAGAAAGGAAGTGTTTTTACTTTTGGTTACAAATCCAACTTTCCTTGTCTCTGCTCTCCTACTCAAAAGTAGTTTCTAAAATATAACTTACTGCGTGTTCTAGAGTCAAGTGTTAAATACCAGAGTTTAAGAGTTCAGTCATATACATTTATAGTCAAGAGTTTTATTTTTAGCCCACACATCAGAAATTCCAACATTGTTGATTATTTGTAGTGCTCCTCAATTATCCCTTAATTAACATATAACCATCACCTGCTATCTAGTTCATTTGGTCTTAGGCATCCCATCCAGACCCTACTAGATGATGGTTGCACTCTTTCCAAGTGGGACAGCTAGCAGGTGAGCCTTTCATCTCCCAATGTGTATTTTCACCCAGTTGCTTGACTGCTTTCTGTTACAGATCTAAGTTGCCATGCCTTTTATAACTATGTTAATTTCAGCTTAGAGTGATTCTTGTTTGTTTGCAGTTTCATGAGCATGGCTTAATCTTGCTGGGTATCGCAGCATCCATTATTAGGTCAGTATTTGATCTAAAACCAATTTTAATCAATGAAAAGTCTTGGGTATGACAGTCAGATGATGGAAAGTTTAATATTGATCATAACATCAATAACTAGTACAGCATAAGTACAGGCTACATTTCCATTCCATAGACAATGGACACCAATTCTTATGTATTTTTTACACACCTTCAGAGCGGGTGGGTCTTGAACCTGAATCTTCTGACCCAGAGGTAGGGAAGTTACCAATGCACACCAAACCTCTTTGCTGGTTTTTATGTAAGTGCCCTAATCTTCTCCCAATTAGTATCCGCTGCTATAAATCTGAACTCGACCATGCATATATACATACTCAATTGACACTCCATTTGCAACGTTAGCAAACTGTGGGTCTCAGCGTATCATGCAGAACCAGAAGTTGGAGCAGCAGCAACAATAGCAACAACATCTGCAGAGTAGTGAGTGGATGAGACAGTGAGAGAGGAGCAGTCACTTAAAAGGATCTGTGAAACCTGTCGATTTTACTGTGGATAAATAGTGAATGATTACTTTTACAAGTGACCAAACAGGCAACTAGGGGATGGAAACCAGTGATTCTCACTGAGGGAGGGAAAAAAAAGAGGAAGTATAGGAATTTTGCAGGGCTAAATTAGTGCCCAAGGATTGTGCCCTGAGATGATTTTTGGTGCTGAGCAACGTGGAAGCTGTTCATAGCTAGCGGAGAGCTGAACTTGCCAGGTACCTACTCTGACTTCCATGCTGAATATTAATTGTCACTGACGTGATTGTCGTTGGGGCCTGTGGTGGAAGCAGAAACTGTAGCTTCTTGTTGAGTAATGTATACTGCAAATAAGGCATTGAGGCTTGCTGGTGGTCATGCAGTATTCCCCTTCTTCACAGTGTGCCACCTGCATCTACTTATGCCAGTCACTGAAAATTTCTAGAGTCCAATTTACGGTGTTACTAAAACCAGCTCTCATCCCTGTCCTCATGGGATGTGGACAAATTCTCTGCACCAGCTAGCAAGATCCAATCAGGAAAGAATACCTCTGTGTCATGTATTTTAGTACAGGAAAGCCCTTTGACAATTTGTTATCTTCCATAATCCTGTTTTGAATTTAAGCAACATAATAGCAAGTCAAATTGAAAATTCCATTTGAAAATTGAATAAAGCAATGTCATTTAGAAGTCATTATAGCTAACAGGTGTAATTTATTAATAAATATGACTGACTCTACACAATTAATTGAGCAGTTCAAAATTCTTTTTTCCTTTTAAAGTAAGCTTTACAATTGACTTGGTGACACAATCCAGTTATATAGCTGGCCAATATGCTTGTGTCTGCTTAATACAAACACTGAGCAGGTGATCCAAACATGAGACTGCAGTCACCTTTCAGATTGGTTGGGCATTAGACAACATGACAACAAATAACTCAAAATGTATTTAATCCAACACAAGTTACTGAATACAGAAATAATAGGGATTATAAAGTTTAACCTACAGTGGATGACACTGACTGTAGATTTAGGTATGACTGCTTTAAGTATAACGGAAACTTTCATTACTACATTTACAACTTCAGGCTCTGCTATTCCCTGTTCCCAACTACTCTGAATGTTAACCGTGACATTTAAAACTCTACGCTCTTGATTGCAAGAGGCATCACTGGTGTTCTTCTACAACAAGCTTTACTGGGTCCCTTCGTCAATGGACTTGGTTCCTTCTTCACCTGTGGTTGACAGACAAATCAGCACTTCTGCAATTTCCATGATCCTGTAAAGTAAGAATGTAGCAGATGCTGGTTGTCATTGGTTAGTCCTTATTTGCCCCATTCTCCTTGATCTGCATCCAATGTCCCCATCAACCTTTCCCTTCCATATCCATATGTGCAAGTGTTACTGGCCTAGAGGACCTCCTAAGGTCCTTGCCAGCAGAGTACTAAACCTGGTTTTGCAAGTAGGACTAACTATTCATTAATATCCTACAATCCAAATTATAAAGGCCCAAATTCAAACATGTAAATATCACGCACACAAAAATTCATTTGTTTCACATACAAAATAGAGTAGCACATCATCTTCAGGAGAGGGAAACAGAAAGAAAGCAATTATGACACACTAAACAGCAAACTGCTTTAAAACCAGACACAAGACAGATCACAAGAGGTTCAACCACTTTTAAGTGACATAGATGTTGGCTTGCAAACACACAATGGGAAGTGGTATTTGGTCAGTCGATCTTGCTCTGCCACTCCAGAACGCAACAAAGAAATAGTTTCAACATAATGTTACAGACGCTGCAGCAGCCTTTCATAATCAGTCTTTGGTCAGTATCCCTAAATAGTAGCCAACAACACCCTTCCCACTTCTCTGAGGCCCAGAGCCCATGGTCTTCATTTCATCCAGGTGCCTCGAATCATTCTCCTTCTCTTCTAGTAGAGTTGGCAGCTTGATGGCTCAGTGGATAGGAGTGCTGCCTCAAAGCGCCAGGAACCCAAGTTTGATTCCAGCCATGGGTGACTGTGTGGAGTTTGCATGTTCTCCCTGGCTGTGTGGATTTTCATCAGGTACTCCGGTTTCCTCCCAGAGACCAAAAATGTGCAGGTTAGGTAAGTAGCTATGGTAAAACAAAAGGTAGGATTACAGGGATAGGGTAGGAGGCTGGATCTGGGTAGGATGCTCGTCATGTGGTCGGTGCAGACTCAATGGGCCAAATAGCCTCTTTCTGCATTGTAAGGATTCTGTGACTATGTCCCTGAGCTTAGAGGGGTCAGGCATAACTTACTCCCTTCTGTCTCATTGGGGTCTGCCATTTAATCAGTCTGAAGAGTAACCATTCATGTCTTTTTTTTCCATGTCAATTTCCCCATGGCTTCTACAATTTCTCAGAAGTGAAAGTAATTACAAATTCTTTTTTCTAACACTCCCAAACCCTGTTGTCTGCCTTAGTACATACTTGTATACTTTAGAATTAGAATTAGATTTTATTGTCACAGGTACTCAAGTACAGGAGTACAGTGAAAAGTGTACAGTGTCCCAGCATCATCTACAAACGCACCAAGGTACAAAATCTTAGATACAAAGTAGATAAATATGGAAATATAGTTAAAAGTTCAACATTAAAGTCCTTCTTAGTATAAAGTAGAAACATAAATAAATAATTAAAGAAGGACTGTGGTGTTGAACTCTTAAGTGTTTAGCCATGCTGGGCTCACAGTCCTCACAAGGTTTCATTCTCCTCCGTGTTGGGCTTGATCCCCTGTCCTTGCTGCTGCTGCGGATGCAGGGCAACCTCTGGTTACCAGTTCTTGCTGCAGTGGCGGGAGACCTCTATTGCTGCAGTGCTGGGCTTGATCTCCCCCACACTCTCTCAAAGTCCCCTGCGTTGGTCTCGCCCTCCTCTGCATTGTTCACTTGCTCTCCCCCACGGTCTGTCACTGTCCCCTGTGTTGGGCTCACTCTCCCCTGCGCTTTCTCACCGTCCCCCATGCTGGCTTGATCTCTTCAAAGCAGGTAAGCAGATTAAAGTAAGAAAGAAAAAGCTGTGAAAGATGGGGAAGAAAGTAAAAGCTGATGGAGCAGATGAGTTCCGAGCAGGAGTCCACATGCTGCACTGCTACTCTGCTGCCTTTCTGAACCTTTTATGCTTGAACCAGTTATGCTTATTACTCGGGCATGCAAATTATCACATGGCCATAAACAGTACAAGACAAGTATAGTATTGATATCTCATTTGGAGGCTGGACAGTGCCTGGTTGGAATAAACACTTCCATTGTAAGACTAATCAAACTCCTGAAGTGCCCATGTCCCTTGAAAATGCAAACAGGTTTCCAATTATAACAGTTATCTCCTCAGAACATTCAAACAAGTTTCTACTTTACAACATTATTGTGGCTATGTCTCTTTGTGTAGCTAAATGCCTCATGTCTCCTCTTGACCTGAGCTGTTCAGAAATAAATTTGCATTCATTATGTCTTATTTTAACCTTCGCAATGCCTCAGCCATGTATCACCCTACACCAAGGCTCCTAGCCCTCCGAGTTCCAATATATCTTTCCAGATATCTATCTAGTAGTGTAATTAATTTCCGTACATATGTGCTGCCATAGGAGGAAAATTCATGATCTGTGGAACTTTTCACCTCTTTGGTTATTGCGATAGAAACTAAACCCTCATTGCAAAGAGAATGGTATGGATGTTTGACGTGATCATGAGTCAAATGATCAGGTGCCATGTAGGCAGAATGTAAGGTTGCCATAGTCCCAGAGACTACTATAGGGCTGCTCTCTCATGAGAGATAGAGAGAGAAAGACATGACTGGTGGTGAGTTTAAGAGGTTGAGAAGGTGGAACCATCATGACAACCTTAGTCAGTGTGTGAATATTAAGATGCCAAACCACTAGGTATGGCTACAGCCAGAATTGGCTCTGAACCCTGATCTCTCCTTGTCCTGGTTTAGGACATAATCTTTATATCATCCTCTTGCGAATGTGAAGGTCCTGTGCCCTGAAACTGACCCCTCTGGTTCCCTTCCTAAACAAAACTGGTCTAAAGAAATTAGGTCCTATAAACAGTTGCAGGCACTCAAATCATGCAGTTTGTGTGATTTATGTTTTTAATTGGCAATCTCAGTGAGCAACGCCAATGACCTAGAAAATCTCAAGTTCATCTGGTGGGTTTAATGTCTGGCAATTGTCTTTCAGGAAACTCTGATCTTCAATATTAGGAATAATCTATGAAATGATATTCCTTATGTTGTTATAAATTCTGTCAATTGGCTCAGGCATCAGGAAGTGGATAACATATGAGCTATGTCCCAACGCACGGTAGTGCTTCCTGCAGAGGAAAGAGGAAAATTGAGGAATAATGAAATTTTAAAAATATGCCTTTTCCTTTTTCTATCTACACTTTTGTTCATGTAGGCTAGCTCATTAATTAAGTAAAAGTGGTGTCTGCTTCGTAAATTCCTTTGGAGGTAGGTGATTCCAAAAATGGAGGTATATAAATTTTCATTCATAATTGTGAAGCTTACCATAATTAGAGAAACAAAAAAGTTTAATATATTATCAAGTATTTTTAGCATTTAATTGAGTCATGCATTCTCTTTATTTTAGGTTTCCACAGGAGCTGAATGTGGGAAAGATAAGTGCAGAAGTGATGTGGAACCTTTTTGCACAGGACATGAAATATGCAATGGAAGGTTGTACTGTTTCTATTATATTTTTCATTCACAAACTAGAAAGTTCTCTTTTTATTATAAGACTGTGTGTCAATTGCTTGTGAATTTTATGAAAAATATCCTATTTATAATTAATAAAAATCCTGAACAAAATTTAACTTAGGCAACTGGGGCCATGCTGCCAGCTGGAGAACCCAATACAGCCTGCTTTGGGGATGACCAATGTGTTAATGTTCAGCAATATGCCTTCCCTGGGATTAAGATATGCAGGGTGGAAAACTCATCCTCCCACCAACAGCTGCCAGCTAGGATGGATGAAAGTCCAGGGAAGGAGGTTCAGATCTAAGCATAGCCCCCCTTTCCTGATGCCATTCTATCAATCAGGCGTCCAGTGTCTGATGATGAAGGACTGCCCATAAGAGCATGTGAAAACACAAAAGGGTTGATCACAAACATCTGGAGAGGGAGGTGGTGAGACCCTTATTTGGACATTGTGTAAAGACTGTACCATTTAACTTTTGTGCTTTTTAAAACTACGTGCTGAAGTGAAAAAGAACTGGTTAAGACCTGGGTTTACAAGGGTAGCTGTATACTTTTAAATCAAGAAACTTGATGTGGTTTGTAAACCGTATTTCTATTGCTTTGAGTTCCAGCAACAGCAGACAAACTGGAACCAAGAAGTTGATTGGTTGTGGACAGGGGTCCAGTTATCATTGGCAAAAGTACTCTGCCTGCCAACAAAACAGTGCTTATGCTGTCAGTTAACTGAACAGCTTGGGCTGTAAGTTAGACAGAGATAAACTAGTTCAGAACAGCATAGAAATCAACAGATCTGCAGAAGTCAAAAGCACTCTCTGTTATTTGCAGTAATCCACTTTAAGCATGAAGAAAATTGGCTTCTAATAGATGTTGCAAGCGTGACTTTGAATAAGTCAGAAACCTTTTATAAGTGAGCCAGCCACCCTGTGCTTCTTGCAAAGCAATGGAAGGATTCAAAAGAAGGAAAGTTGAGGAGAAATCTTCAGATCAGCAAAAACTAAACAAACATCTTGTAAACAAAAATGAACTGTTTTCTGTCCTGCCATTTTTTTATATTTGTGTGTGTGTATGTAAGGAGGAGTTCATAAGGGATTTAGAGTTTTAATTTGTAGAATTTATTTAATTTAATTTCATTCTTTACCTGCAGCTAAAATCTAATGTCATGTAAGATATGGTGATTTCTTGTTAAGTACAGAAACCTAGTCTGTGCTTTCTTTCAATCTGGGTCTAAAAATCAGGTTGTTTGGGGATTTTGCATGTTTCTTTTAAATATTTTAACTTTTATCATGCCTGTGGGAATAGAAGGGCTTAATTTTCTGTGAGCTACCTGTGAGCTGTGACAATTAATTAAGGACTTCAACCGGCAGGAGGGAGAGAAGGCCATCTAAAGCCTTCCCAGTTTAGTTTTAATTGGGGCAGAGATGAGAAAGCAGTGGTGCCTCATCCAATCATCCCCTCACTTGATTAAATGCTCCCCAACACTAAACATACCTCTTAGAGTACTTTTCATTGTTTGCTTCATTATTTGCTTCAATTAGATGCATAAATCCAGCACAATCAATATATTATCTTTAATTCAGTGGGCTGTTAGTTCTAATGATAAATTCTAGGCATAAGCCATTGTGTTATAGAAAAATAATTTGTATATCAGGAACACATACATCTATTCTGAATTTAAAGTTAAGGAGATATATTCAAGATATTTTAAAATTACCTTCAAGAGAAAAGAAATTTCCTGTTTTCAAAATGTATATTCATGCTTAGAAATGTTATAGAAACTCCGTTATCAACTTTGGTTCAAGCATTGATGTCATTTAACACCTTATTAATAATTTGATTCCTAAGGACACTTAGAAGCAAAGAAAATAGGACCAAGAGTAAGCCAGTCTGCTCTGCCATTCGATATGACCATCCAACTCGGTACCCTGTTTCTTGCTTTCAACCCCTTTCCTTTGATCCCTTTAGCCCTAAGAACTATATCTAACAGTTAATATTTTGGTCCCAACCACTTTCTGTGGCAGAATTTCGTGACTCTCTAGATGAAGAAATTTCCCGCATCTCAGTCCTAAATAGCATAGCCCATGTCCTAACACTGTGACCCCCTGGTTCTAGACTCACTGATTGCAGGAAGAATGTTCCTGACGTTTATCCCATCTAGTCCTGTTAGAATTTTACAGGTTCCTATGGAATCCTCCCTCATTCTTCTAAGCTCCAGTGGATATAGTCCATTAGAAACTAGTATAGTATCTATTCATAGTCAATTTCCCCAATGCCATTTCCCTCCTAACGCTGATTTCTTTCAGTTCTTCCCTCTATCTAGACCCTGCATTTCCCAGTGTTTTTGGGACATTATTTATGTCTTCCTTTGTGAAGATAGGCCAATGAAATACATATTTTTGTTCTGTCATCTCTTTACTCCCCATTATAACTTCCCTTGTTTCTTCCTGTAAGGAACCTGCAACCATTTTAACTAATATTTTTGTCTTCACAAACCTATAGAAGGTTTTATAATCAGTTTGTATGTTCCATACAAGCTTACACTCATACTGTACTTCCTTGTTTTTAATCATACCCTTTGTCTTTCTTTGCTGAAATCTGAGCTGTGACCAATTCTCAAGACTGCTAGTTTTTATTTTCTTGACCAGTTTCTGTGCCCCTTCCTTGGATCTAATACAGTCTCTATTGTTAGTCAGTCAGGAGCCCTTTCCTGTTTTTCTTTGTCAGTCAGGAATGAATAATTGTTGTGATTTATTCATGTGCTCTTTAAATGTTTTCCATTGCCATATCCATTCGAGCAGCATATAATCCATAGAGCCATAGAGGAGGTGGCCTGAAAGAAGCATACAGATCAGGAGAACATGATTGTCTCCACGGAAAATTCCTTTGAGTACGGCTCAGAACTTTGCTTTTATGCTCAGCTATGGGGTTTCACTGGTGACTGGTCCTTCCATGGTATCAACTGTAAGGTGTGATTCTGCAATTATAATTTTAACAAGTCTGAACAAAATTATTTTCTCTTTTTGTACAAAACTTTATTAACTAAAAAGGTTTTACTACACGTGCCCAAAACCTATACTCTTTCTCTCAGTCTCAGATTTTGCAATTTTCAAATGGCATAGCTTAATTAGCTTTCTGGGGATAGTATAGACTTCCAATACCATTGTGTGAAGCAAAAACAGAAATTGCTGGAGAAGTTCTGCAGGTTTTTCCAGCAATTTATGTTTTTGTTTCTGATTTCCAGCATATGCAGTTCTTTGTTTTTTTTTCAACCCTTGTGTGAAAGTTTTGTGTTTCTCTAACCATAATTTAAAGGTTATGCTCCTTCTGGTCTGTTCTACCAAAGGAATCTTGAATAATTTTTCATAGTTTTTCATAAAGGAGGTTTTTTAACCAACTCGTCTATGCCAGTTTTTATGATCCAAATGTGCAGCCTTCTAATCTTTATCTGAAGCTTTCATATTCCTTCCTCCACTGCTTTCCTATTATCATAAAAATACAAATTAATTCATCCATTAATCTTCTAGATTCAGGGAAATGTAAGCCTAGTTTGTGCAATTCGTCCTCCTAATTTAAGCCTTTTAGTCCTCGTTGTTCTGTGAATACACATTCTAAATCTGTTTCGCATATAGTCCAAGCCAATGTTGTCTTCCTAAGTTACCATACTCAAAACTGCAGTGCCCTACATAGGGTTCAACCAGAGAACTGTATAGCTAAATGTACTTCCATACCGCATCAGAATAATTCAACTCTGTTCATTAGGCATGACATATTTACTCTTTTATAAACAAACCCATGTTGGTTCTTTGATAGCTCAAATTTGTCCAAATACGCAGTCACACTCTTCTTGATAACAGTCTAATAACTTCCTTGTACTGGCATTAGACTAATTGACCTGCCACTTCCTAATTTATCTCGCTTACCCTTCTAAATTACTAGGATGTATCAGATTCGAATGATAAAATGCTTGACATAACTGATCACTAAAAACTGATTATTATCAATACTTTGTCAGATTTTAAAAAATACAGATCTTTATAATTAGCACTTATTAAATCCATGCAAGTATATTTTCTAAAATCCATAGTAGTGATCAAAATAAATAGCTCCAGCAGAAATTTAAGACCTTTCAGCCAACATAAAATGCTCATTATTCTTCTTTAATGTAAGGTGTCCAAAAGCTCTGCTGTCTGTATGCTTAGTACCATTTGCTTTTCACGCCTGTGTTTGCTGCTTGACAGTGGCTCCCATTTTAGAAATGTCTCCATTTTAGAAATGTCTCCATTTTAAAATACTAATCCTTGTTTTCAAATCTCTCATTGCCTTTGCCTATCCTTTCTGCAATTTCCTCCAGCCTTAGAAACAGCTGGGATATATCTTTGCTCCTGCAATTCTGGCCTCTTGGGGAGTCCTGAATTTAGTCAGCTGTGTGTTCAACTGCCAAGACCCTCAGGTCTGGAATTCCTTTCTGAACCATCTCCTCTGCTTTTCTATTTTCCCTTCCTCATTTGTTATCTTTGACCAAGCTCTTTGTCAACTGCTGTAATAACTCTTTTAGTGGCCAAGTGTCAAATGTTTGATAATGCTCCTGTGAGGCACCTTGAATACTTCAGTACGTTAGAGATGTAATATAAATACAAGGTATGATTAAATCAAGATCTACATATAAATATTTTTATGCTTTAGTTGTGGATACTATTCCTAATGCAGTTTGAGAATAAAAGCAAAGACTCATAATTTTAAAAACAAAAAGTGACCCTTTCAAATTTATTGTATTGCCTTCTTGAGCAGGACTAAATAGATTTAGTGTCATTCAAGTGTCAATTCCATTAGCAATGCAAGTTTGAACTCAGCAAAGATCTCTCTTTATCTACTGTGTGTCAGCAAAACCATTTCCGAAGGGGATTATCAGCTGTCGACATAAGCTTTTGTTTTCTTCTGTGTGCCACTAAAAGACTAGCATATTAGTGCACAACCTATTATTT